AAATTGGGGGGGGGGCGGGGGGGGGGGGGGGAGTTGTAAACAAGGCTTGGCTTGTTGTTTTTGAATTTATTGCAAATCTCACTCAAAAGAGAAGTCCTAATTTCCTGCCCCTAGTAGACAGAATAAAAACTTTTCATTGTTGAAGTGGCAAGAGAATCTTAGTTATGGTTCGTTGAAATGGTTATAAATTTAGAGAACCATAACTGAGGTTCCCTTGCCATGTCAACTGTGAAAAGTTTTTATTTTGCCCCTTGAGTGGGCTGGAGATCAATTCGTGTCATAACAGATATTTCATATGAGTTTTAAGTCTCATAATTCATGTCATAGTTCAAGTGATGGAGTTTCTCGTAACAATCTCGAATTAATTAACGATACTTAGATCATATTTATGATTGTCTTGTGGTGAAAAGAAAAGTTAATTTATCTTGAATTCAACAAGCATAAGATCATACAAGTGTTTACATTTCTAGCTTCTCTTTTATATATTTTATGAATATAACGATGATAATAGGACTTTAATGTGCTCTAATATGCAATATTTATTGAGAAAATATTCTCTAAAGTTTTAGAAAATGATGTAATGAAACTTGTGCTTAAAGAACTCACATCTTTCTCTGGTTTTAATTGTTCTGGAAATAATTGAAGGTGTAGGTGCAGGACTCGGGCTGCCTGAACTAAGGAGAACCAGCGTGCTTTGAGTCCCCATATCTCTAGTCACGCTTATTTTCTTCTTCTCTGCAACGGGATAAATAAATGAAAAAATTTAAAATCTTGTTCATTATAATATCTAGTATACAAAACAAGACTTAAACGGAAAATGTTTGAGACCTTGATCAGGAATTTGAACCTCACTTTCATGTTCTGCAACGGGAGACTTGGTGTCGAATTGCTGCAATTGACTAGGATAAATGAGTGGAGCAGACACTGTAATTCTTCTGGTAAGGTTTCGAAAGGATCTTCCGCTGAGAATTTTCGCAGATAAACACTCAAATGGAACCTCTCCTGATAGAGGATTTGAAATGTACTTTTCTGCATCATTCCACTTGGAATTGAGAACAAAACCATCAGGAGAAAGGGACTTCCAAGAATACACAGTTTTTGCCTGCAATGCTGCACCAAAAAGCCCCCAACAAATGTCGTAAAATTGGAACCACTGGAGTTAGATAGCACTGGACGGTACCAAGCATGTTTCTTAACGGATCCTTACCTTTCAGGGCTGTGGTGAATGAATATGTTGAAGGGTCAATTTCTTCTGTAAAAAGAAAAGATTATAAATTGAGTTAAGAGAGCAATTAATGAATAAAAATCTATATTTGGACTTTGGGGAAGAAGGACTGTATCACCTTTTATCGTGTAGCCAGGAGAAGAAGCAGTACTACAAATGGTTATATTTGATCTGAAAGACCTTGCATCTTCTCTATAACTTCTAATATTCGACGCAGAAAATCTTCTTGAACTTGTATTTTCGCGTCTGATTCGAGCTTTGAGTTCCCATTCTTTCAAGTTGAATTCTGAGTCATCGTGCCTTTTTGAACCAAATGGAGATTTTTCCATGTTACTTGCCATGAAAGTCAATGGATTTCTTCGCTTTTTGTGACAACTTTCTTCAGGCTGCAAATTGCCAAATATAATTTCGAAAAATTGCCATTGATTAAAGAATCAGCAAAAGATGCTCGAGGAGTCGCTTTTCAAGAAAAACTCATCAGATCAAGTCAAAAAATTCAAACTCATATGATATTCTTTATTCTTTATCTTTCTTTCTGGTGCTCAAGCTAACGTCAACTTAGCCTCTGGACCATTTTCTATTGCCATATACTGATGGGGATCAGAGGGAAATTTAAGCTAAAAAACCTTTTACCGGAAAGTGGTATGAACTTTTTGGAATCTGAGTGATTTTTTGGTGAACAATTATTGAAAAGTTTATACTACTTTCTGCATACAACGTTAGCTGCAGATGGACCTATTGATGACAATGGAAATGATTTTATACGGACCTTGACATTTGGTGGGACATCCCTTTTTTTTTTTTTTTTGGTAAACAATTTCTTGAATTTATGCGATGAAAGTTTAAGAATTGTTTGGTGTAATTTTTTTAGAATAGATTTTGTAAAAGGTGAGTTTTTTTTTTTTTTTTTTTTTTTATTGTGTAGTAAAAAGGAGGAAGAAAATTATAGTCCATGTGCAAAATTACCATATTGTAATTTGTATGGCTGAAAATAAGTTTGCACAGAAATGAATTTTAAATAATATATTCCTGAGTTTAATTTTGCTAATGAAAAGCCTACTTGAGGTCCAGGATACCTTTGAAGGTTGATACTGATGCAAGTGGTTTCCCACTATCAAACATGAATTCCAACTGTTGATTCAAAAACCAACGACTATGTTTGATATTATGTAATCGACAGTATGATACATATAAGATTACAGTCTTTTGATTGTTTTAGTATTGACTGTTGCACTATAGTTCACCTAACCAACAACCTATATAATTGTTTAATTTTTGTGGTATTTTTAACCTTTATGCTGTTTTTTAACATTTTCAAGAAAGTAGCACAAGAAACTTGGGTAATTATACGCTGTGCTAACCATTTAAGTTTTTCTCATTGAAGAAATAATTATTACAAAATTGCAAACTAATTAGTCCAAAATATTGAAGGCTTTGCAAATATCCCATTTTTTCTAAATTTCATATAAGCTAAAATTTCATTCCATTGAAATGACATTGGTTATTTGTTTTTGAGGATTGTCATGGAAAACAAATTGAGGGGGATTTCTATAATTTTAAAAGGACATGAAATATCTGTTGGGTTTATGACCCAAATTAGGGGGGAAAAACCGTTTCCTTCTTTCACATTATTTCCATGTTTATGGTATGGTATGTACCAATAAACAGTGGCATATTTTTTCAGTTTAGTTCAAGCCAAAATTGTCGTGTTGTAATTTTCTCTCAGTATCGTCGTTATAATAAAACATCGTTTCCTCTACTTAATTCTCTTTGATTTATTTACTTTAAATCTTGTTACAAGTACAACATCATTAATCTCAATCCTCGTGTTGTCTTTGGGATCAACAAGTGGTATTAGAGCTAGGTTGCAGGTTCTTCGTGTTTTGATTGGGATTTTTTAGAGATTGCTCATTGATATATGATATTACTTTGTTGAATCGCAATACAAGATTTTCTCTATGACAAGTAAAGAGGAGGGCTATTCTAGCGCAATTGGATTTGGATGATGCGTTGCTGGTTTTTGAGAAGATGCCAGCTAATTGGACAATAGAGGAGAAACAATGAAGGGATCGAAAGGCTTTATCGTAGATTCATCTTCATTTATCCAATAATATTTTGTAGGACATCTTGAAGGAAAATAGTGGCTGCTTTGTGATGGAAACTGGAGCATATATGCATAACTAAAAGCCTTACTAGCAAACTGGCTCTAAAACAAAAGCTGTATTCCTATCGCATGGCGGAAGGAGGGTCACTGGAAGACCACATTATTGTGTTCAAGGAAATAGTTGCAGATTTAGAAATATTGGAGGTTAAGTACGATGAGGAGGACCTGGCCTTGATCCTATTGTGTTCACTGCCCGCCTCTTATTCGTCATTTCGGGACATTATCTTGTACAGTCGTGATACTTTGACCATTGAAGATGTCTACGATTCTTTGTTCTCAAAGGAGAAGATGAAGCATTTGTTGGAACTACATCGAGGGATGAGGAAGCTTTAGTATCTCATGGTGATCGACGAAAAGATAGATTGAGGACGAACTTCAACAATTTGTACTACTTCTACTGCAGGAGGAAAGGACACGTTAAGAATGATTGTAATAAGTTGCAGGCTAAAAGTAATTTAACTGCAAATCATATGGGGCAATCATACAATTCGAACGAGACTAATATTACCGAGGATTTTTTAGATGGCAGTGATGTGATATCTGAGGTGGATTCTAAACCTGACGAGGAATGGATTTTCGATTCGGTATGTTCGCATCATATGTGTTCCAATCGGAATTTCTTTCAAACATATAAGGCTGTCAAACAATATGAAGTTGTGATGGAAAACAAGCAGTCTTGTCATGCTGTTGGAAACGATCGAGTCAGATTAAGGTTGCAGGATGGGACGGTTAGAACAGTTGATCAGGTTCGACATGTTCCAGGCCTAAAAAGGAATCTCATCTCACTGAGTACCCTTGATGGGTATAATTTCTCTGGTATGGGTATAATTTCTCTTGAAGATTCGAAGGGATGTCCAGGTTGTACTAGAGGGAAGGAAGAAGTCTTAGTTGTACATCTTGTAGGGAAGCGCAGAACTAGTTAAAAGACACCCGGACAAGTTTAGTACCATAATGGATATTCAGTTTGGTACAATACCTTTTGTGACGGGCTCTGGGTCGGTTCGGAACATTGCTCAGGGGAGCACTGATGATTTCGCTTCAATTTCAACGGATACATCGTGTTCAGTTGCTAAGATTGGGCTCATGGAGTATAGGTACAGTGGTGTCAGTGATGGTTGTAATGCTTTCAGAATCGTTGAAAGTGATAGTTTTGGCAAGGGGCTTTCTGATCGGGTATTTTGTGTGGTTTCTGCTATAGGATATGCTTCGACTTGTTTGGTCAACAGTAATTCTTTGGTGAAATTTTGGAAAGTCTGGAGTTGGGTTGGAGTGTTGCTTGTGGACACCGAGCAAAGGAAGATATTTTTCTTTATGATGAAGAGATTTGGTTACTGTTTTGAAGAGTTTGATTATTTCGATACAGTCAGACATATTTTTTCAGGGGGAGGAATTTTAGAGTTTCATTCGTTGCACCAAAATTTGGGTCAAGATGGAGATTGTTGGGTTTGTCCCAAATTAGGAAAAAAATTGTTTCCTTATGTTCACGTAGAAAAAATAGCTTACTTATTTTTACACGATTTTATTGGAAATGTATTATTTCTTTATTTTCCTTTTTATGGTATGGTATGCACCTATAAATAGTGATATCTTCTTTCAATTTAATTCAAGCCAAAATTGATGTGTTGTAATTTTCTCTCCAAATCATCATTATAATAAAACTTCGTTTCATCTACTTAACTATCTTTGATTTCTTTACTTTAAATTTTTTTCATCTTTGTGATCTTGTTACATATTTCATACAACATCATTAATCTCAATCCTCGCGTCGCCTTTGAGTTCAACAATATCTATGTAATATTCACATATATACTTCACGAGATATTTATGTAATTCACTCAGCATAAAATAATTTGATAATGCTTCTTGTTACCTAAATTTTCTCTTAAATCCAATCTTGAATGGACTAATATATTACTTTGATTGACTCATAATTTGGCCAGTATTTAGAGGGTTAAGAAATATGACCCCTCTCCATACCAAGTTAAAATTTCATACCTCGGTTTCTGTCACAAATTAGCATGAAAATGTTCGAACTAAGGATACTGACCATTAATGAGACACCTCTCCTTTATTAAAATGGAAACTTTCCCGAAAGTTTATTTTTTTCGTAATAGAATCACACTTTTCGTCAAAAAGTAAATACATACTTTCCATTTTACCCTGAGCTTTATATTATTTTAAAATTTTTGTTATCTTTCTTCTTATTTTTAGATGTAATTTTTATAATTCTGACTTACATTGTGAGTTAAAATTAATCATTGTTATACTATTTAGAAAAATATATGTGATTTATTTCTTACAAAAAGTACTATACGTTTTGTAAATAGAATTGACAAATTATTAAGAAATAAACATAATGTGTTTAAGAATAATTTAATTGATCTAAAAGTCCATCAAATATTTTTATTAATCAAATTTTATTTTTGTTTATACTGTACTAAATTTTAAAATTAAAGTAATGTTATCTTAATGCTGAAAATTCAACAAAGTTGGCATCTAATGTTTAAAGCTTAGATTATTTCTTTCTTGTTCCTTTTATTATTAACTATTTTAGATCTTTTATATATTTTTTAAAAATTCGATAAAAAATGAAGGAAATAATTGCTACAATGAGCAAATATTGAGGAACTTAACTGAAACTAAAATGTAATATATTAAATAAAAATTTTAGTGATAATATAACCACCTGTCTATGAAATCAATTAAAATGTGTGTTGAACTTGACAATCATAAACCTTTTTGTACATATCATAAACTTTATCTTAATCTCATTTATTTTTTATTCTAAAAGAAGAAAAGCACAGTGTCCACGAAGTTGGCTCTATATAATTTTGGAAATACCCAAAAATTATGCTGGATAGAGTGCAGTATCATCATTGAATGCTGGATCAATCAGACAGAATCAAAATCGAGGAAAGGTGAAAGAGAGACTTTCAGCCTTCATTCACAAATGCATTACATTGTAAAATACTGTAAATGGTAGAATTCTCTGAACAATTTTTAATAGAATAAAACAGGATTTTTCAAAAATCTTTTGCATATAAAACAGATAAACAAAGGCATGGGTAGTAGCTAAAAGTACAAATCAAGGTTAGGTTACTTTCAATGTGGGTTGGAAAGTAATTCTGATGAGATATAGAAAATTGTGGGACGACATAAATTTGCTGGATGAGAATGTTTTATTGTGCATGTGCACATTACATGTCTAGTGGGGTGGGACGGGAGGGGAAAGGTCACTATCATTATCATGACAAACTGACAACGTTTAGTTTTTGTCTTAAATACAAGATTTATATGTTTCATGGCAGATGATAAGATCCTGAATTTTAGGTCTATTTTCTGCATTTAGTTGACAAAGTTTCATGTTTTGGATCTTCATTCATCTCCATCTTTCAACTTATTGGGGACCTCGGAATATGCGTTGTACCAAGCATTCAAGTAGGAAGGGATGCATTGGGCGGGCCAAATGTGTATTTATTGAAGGAGCAAGAATTATTTTATCAATATTAGGCTCGATCATATTAAATTGTGCATTATGAATTCAAGAAAAAATTAATTTAGATAAGTCAAATTTGAGTTATAGTTCATTAA